TACAAACACCTGTGACGGAATATCACACAATGTCTGTGAGGAAATATACGAACATCTGTAAGGAAATATCACACAAGCACTATCTGTAAGGAAATATCACACAGGCACTGCATGTGACGACATATCACACTGACACTGTATGTGACGAAATATCACACACATCTGTGAGGAAAGAATATCACACACACACACACACACACACACACACACACTGTCTGTGAGGATATATGACACAAACATATGTGAGGAAATATCACATAAACACTGCTGGGTAGCAATATCGATGCCAGTCTATCGCACGCTTGTGACATTGTTCAAAAGGCATCGCATGCTGACCAAGCGTCCACAAGGTGTCTGATTAAGCTTCATTCATATATAAAAGTTTCCTACAAGCCAACCTCCTGGCGACTAACGGGGTTCCCTTTCTGGTAGTACTAAGTTAAAACAGTTCTCATAGTCATATCACACCACAAACCCTGAGAACAGTCCGCCGCCAACCACATCAACAAACGAGAAGAGTCATTTCTTTATTTGTGCTTCAGCCTCTTTATTTGGGCGCAAAACAACATGACGGTGAGAGCATGAACTGTTGATACAGCACGACTGTCCATCTAAAGCTCCACGACGATGAGCATCAACGGGTGATACAGGACGACTGTCCATCTAAAGCTCCACGACGATAAGCATCAACTAGTGATGCAGAACGACTGTCCATCTAAAGCTCCACGACGATAAGCATCAACTGGTGATACAGAACGACTGTCCATCTAAAGCTCCACGACGATAAGCATCAACTAGTGATACAGAACGACTGTCCATCTAAAGCTCCACGACGATAAGCATCAACTGGTGATACAGGACGACTGTCCATGTAAAGCTCCACGACGATGAGCATCAACTAGTGATACAGAACGACTGTCCATCTAAAGCTCCACGACGATGAGCATCAACTGGTGATACAGGACGACTGTCCATGTAAAGCTCCACGACGATAAGCATCAACTGGTGATACAGGACGACTGTTCATCTAAAGCTCCACCTTTACACTATAATATGCGTTCTAGACTGTGTCACATGAAAGAGGATGCCGAGTCGAGATTAGGTCCACAACATTCTCCTTCCTGTCTTGTTTCCGTGGTGATATTACGCCTCCTCGCGTTGTCACTCAAGACCGATTCTTCTCCTCGGTTACGTTCCATAACCGATACATGATAACTGAGCGGGAACTCAGCTCCAGGCAACAAGTCCCTCGACACACGGTCGCATCAACACCCAATGATTATAGACTCGGCCCCAGGCAACAAGTCTCTCGACACACGGTCCCATCAAAATATTTAAAAATCATCACAAGGCGATACACAATCTTGCCCGCGTCATTACGTCACAATTCATACTCAACTTCTGTCGGCCTTGCGATAAATAACACGTAGGGCCCTCCACGCCTTGTCTCCACAAATTACTCGAAACGGGAGCATTTCGACTAATACACCAAAGTTCTAATTCACAAGATCAACTAAAATAATATATCGAATTACTGCTAAAAATTCACAGACAACTAAATATGCGTCCCCATGGTCGGACTGGTTGAGAGGCACTGAAATTAACACCCCCGACCAACCCTTAGCTCAGCACTACAGACCCTGCATTGTTCTCGCTAAGCGCGTGCAAACCACTGTTAGTCGTGATTCTCCAGAAACACGTCTTTCCCCACTTCGTGCTCCTCGAAGACCTTTGCACTCGTCTCTCATCTCAAGCCACATGGACCCCGTTTGCCCACGTCTCTGTTACCATCATAATAATGTGTCTACCATCAGAATCCTGTGTCTTACGACTGGCGTAAACGATCACCCCTCTGACCAACCCAGTGAATTTTAGCACGTAAGAAACACATCTGTGAGGAAATATTACATGAACACATCTGTGAGGAAATATTACATGAACACATCTGTGAGGAAATATTACATGAACACATCTGTGAGGAAATATTACATGAACACATCTTTGATGAAATATCACGCAAACATTGTCAATGAGGGAATAGCACACAAATTTCTGTGAGGAATTTCCACATGGAGTTTCTGCTGACGTGATAAGGTTAAATATAGGTTGAGAGAGAATTGCTTGAGGGCACTAATACCCACAGAAGCGCGAATTGTAGAAAGAGTGCTCAGGTGACTGCACGAGAGACTGAAAACGAGGTTGAAAGATTTTTTTTAAAAAGGAGTAGAAAATTAGAGGGAAAAAAAGTTGGGAAGAAACAACAAACAGTTTATGTTAGCTTTACAAAATCGATCACAATAAACAAACAAAGGACGCTGCGGCGATTAGCCTTCATCAGCACATAAAGGACAACACAGTACACATACACAAATATGCTCTAACTGTGAAGTGACTACATAGGACTCTAATGTATAAAATAAATGATACTCATCTGTGTCCCTGGCGAAAAAACTGTGTTCAATAAAATGACGGTCAGCCTATATATCTCCAACGCGCGGGT